CGTAAAGTCGCGTAAAATACTCACTACACCTTTAATCACTAAGTCATAAGTAAGGCTAATCTCTTTAAGTCCTATAATACTCTTATTAGTGTGTACCCTTAGTAATATCAGATTAAACTGTGGGCCCTAAGAATTATTCTTAGTAATATAATAATTAAAGATTTTAACTCTAGTGACCTTTATAGTGTTATCTTAATTAAGCAAACGAATAGGTAAATAAATAAGAAATTAAAAGGATTAACTTAAGTGCTTTCTATGCTTAGGATAATAATGATAGTAATAGTAAGGTCTACCTTATAAGTTTTAGCACCATAAATTTATATAAGATATTATACATTTTAATCATTACTCTTTCATAAGTAGTAGGTATTATATTATTACGAAGTGAACTAATTAAGTGGGGTACCTAAACTAGAAGTTAGGGCATATCTAAATAATTATTCTATAATCTATATATTCTCACTACTATAGTACTTATTATGAGTTTAGTATCTTTATAGCGCAGTACAGATTTAGACACTACTCTATATATAGACTAAAAGTAACTAAAGAGACATGAGAAAGTGTGACTATATGCGTTAATATAAATATCTAGTTAGTAAAAAGTATTATTAGGTACTCTATAAGTATAGAATAAACCCCTTATAAATTAGGGTCTTTCTTATTAATTCTCTAAAATCCTTATATTAATCCCTTTTTCTCTTCTTTTTAACCTAGAATAGCCCTTTTATAGAGTTAAGCTAATAATCTATTAAAGAACACTAACCTTATATTAATTAGTATAGTTACTATAGTACCCTAGCTAGCCCTTTTTATTATCTTAGTAGCCTCTAATTTACGCTTATTACGGTATTTTTATTTATAATTCCTTAGCTATTAGTGATGACACTTCTATTATAGCTAAGTAAGGTATAGTTATCTTTTTTCCTTCTTAGTTTCTAGGCTATTATTCTAAATAGCTAAATACTAGCTAAACGAAAGGCCGCTAAATTCTCACTTCTAAATATTTAGTTAAAATCGCTTTTAGTTATTATTACGATAGAATTACCCTAGTATATAGTATATATCACTAGTTATATTATTTTCTTCTCTTAAGTCACTCTTTTTATATGCTAATAGCGCGTGTGAAGGTCTTAATACTATAGACTTTATTACTATAATCGTGGTAAAAACTAAGTCCTAGTAATAATTATAGTTAAAATTATCCCTAATGCTATTAACACTAGAATAGTATATAGAATATAATAGTAAATTACTCCTTTAAAAAGGCTTATAATATAGCTAATATAAGTAGATACACTAGTGCTAATATTATTAATAGTATCTAAACTAAAAGCAAAAATAAAAATTAGTTTTATGTCACGAAATTAAATGGTAACTATTCCCTTATAACTTAACTTCTTATCGCATAGTATATCTTAATTATTAGGTAGTGAGATAGTGATATAACCGAAAGTCTCCCTAGTAAGTATCTCTACCTATTTAATTAGGTTCTAAATATAACTAAGTTCTAGCTTACGCTATATATCCCTATAATAAATTTATTACTAGCTACTAGAGAGTAATCGCGATTAAAAGTGGGAGAGTACTAAGTAAGATAGACCCTTACTATATATAATATAGCCTAAAAGATACGTAAGCTTACTCTTCTCTTCTCATGACGCTAGTAAATTGGACATAGTGAAGAAGCTCTTATTAAGAATTACTAAAAGCATTATCAGTGAAGAGATAGTTATAGTAATACTAGAATTCGCGCTACTTAGTTTCACAGTATTAACTATATATGTCATAATAGCGCTAGCTCGCCCTAAGGCCTTTTATTATATATTGGTGCACTCTAGATTACTTAGTATTATTAGCTAGTAGGTTTATAACCAGCCTTAAGAAGCTTTTCTTTCGCTATCTAACTAGGCGGTTACTAAGTTAGAACTGCATTACTTACTAATCTCACTAATAAATGCCTTAGTGACCGCTGTTATAACCTATATAAGTTATTCTCGCGAGGGTGATAAGACTTATAGCAGGCCCCATTTTCACTACAAACTTATTTAGGGCGAAAGTATTAATCTAATTAACGCGTGAGTAAGTAAATATTTCGGTTCGTAATGCTAAACACTTATAGATCTTATAATACCTAATTATTATAGTGTCCTAAAAGACTGATTAAACTGATTAGAAAGTATTAGCTAGTTAATCGCTAGGTAGTATTTTAAAGCTATAGTTTACTACCTATAATACTCTTATAGTGGGACTAATAGATCACTTTAATATGAAACTTTATTTCTATTAGTACACTATATTTAAAAGTAAAAACATGGTTAAAATAATCTAACTATTATAATAAATCTTAGCCTAGCTCTATTTAAGCTTCTTTTAATAACTAAGCTAACTATAGATAATAATGTATAAGTTCTTTATAGTTTATAACCCCTTTATTAGATTACTTAACTCGAGTTTATATACACCTAACTTTATATATTTAATGTTCTTTACTCTCTTCTCTATTATATATACTCTTAACTATACTATTTTAGGGCGCCTATACGATCACTTTCTCTATTCTAGTCTATTAGCTTTTACTAAAGAAACCATGAAATAGTTTATTACTATTATAATTAGGTCACTTAAAGTGGTTTAAGCTATTATCCTAATATAATATTAGGCTCTACTCTATAAGAAGTAAAGAGATAATCCTTCTTAGCTATAACTAAGTTATATAAGAATTTCATAATAGGAAGAGATAACTTATATGCTAATATCTAAACTTAAATAGATTATATAGTTAGCTAAGAAGATTAGAATAGATAAACTAAATTATATTGCTAAAGAAATTAAATCTTTATATTATGATAAGATAGAGAAATAAATAAAGCGCTATCTTTATAACTTTAAAAGAACATGGTTTTATACTTTCATTACTAAGAAAAGTGTTAATATAATCACTAAACGAAATTTATGTGTTTTCTAAAGGTAAATATCGCTATATATAAATGACTAGTGATAGTAACTAATAGTGACTATTTATGACTAATTTATATCTAGTGTTATAGAGATAAAATAGCTTCTAGTGCGTAACTCTTATTACACTCTCCCTAATTATCTCTCGCTAATATAGTTAATATTTATAGATTAATCTACTAAAGTAAGGAAAACGTGCGGAAAATTACCTAGCTTTTATTATAGAATGGTATTTATATACTCTTTCCTAATTAAAAGAGTTATAGTTCTCTTATTACACTTTAAATAATTTACTATTAGCGGATTATCTCTTAGTAATGGCCTTTTATATAAATCATAATATTTTAGTTATTAATGCTTAGGTATTAAAAGGTCTTTTAATTGTTAAGGAGTCTAAAAGAGATAACGAAATTATAGATATATTATGATAAACACTTAAAGCTACTAATGTATTGCTAGAATATATCTTTTCAGAACGAGTTTTCCTTAATTATTTAGCTAGTCTATATAATAATTAATTCCTTATGGTTTATTACTTAGCTATTAAGATCCTATAAATAAAGTTTCTCTTCTTATTCTGAAGCTAGCTAGTGTAGTAGCCTTACTAATATAAACTCACTTCTAAGCTAGAAATAGCGAAGAACTTACTCTCACTAATGTTTAACCTATAGTCTTTAAGATCTATATTATTCTTAAGTATATAGAGACTATTAGTTCTGATCTACTTTTAATCTCGGTAATTTATTTATACACTAGTTTATTAAAATTCGTGGTGAAATAACTAGATATAACGCACTTTACACCTCTTAATAGGGGTAGTATAGATAATATCTTTTAGGCGTGAGAAGGTGAGTAAAAACTAACCAAATTTAGCGCTTATAACTATGTGAGTTAGGCTAACTTAGGCCTCTTCATACCTAAATAGCCTTTATTTTTTTATAGTAACCTAAAGGGGACCTACCCTTTTAATTATAATAGCTATTCTATAATGTTTTAAATAGAGAGAGTTTAGATAAGTAAGGGCTTAGTTTAAGGCTAATAATTCTTATAGTTTCTAGATATATAAATGTTCTAAACTTATTTATTCTATTTATATCTCACTATTAGCCGTATTAAAAGGCGTATATTAGACTTTATATATTCTCTTTATAATTAGATTAGACTTTTATACTCACTATCTAGGCTTCATAAGATAATTTCTCTTATAGATTAATCTAGCCTAGTTAGAGCGCCTTTTGAGAAAGCATTAGGCTAAAGTCTATATATATAATTTTACTAGTCACTATTTTATAATGAGAGATATTTAAGCCTTAGTAATCTTACTAAATTCCTTTAAATAGCTCTTAATGACAATTTAAGCCTTATTTAAGTGTGCCTTAAGAAGCTATATAGCCTAGCTAAAGTAGGGAGATCTATCTAGAGAGATTTAAAAAGAATCACTACTTATAAAGTATTTCGTCCCAGATTCTTGGACCGTCGATTGCCGCTTTCGGCGGTCTCACTCGCCCGTTGACTCACCCCAATCACACCCCCCTCACAGTCGACGCGCTCCACGGCTCATCCGCCGCGCACCTCGACCTCACCCGACTCACTCTCGACTCACCTTCGACTCCCCTTCGACTCAACCCCGCGACCACCGGGCGTCAGCCGTTCTGATAGGCCGACCTGGGTCGGCGGAGTGCCCCAGGCTGCGTCCCCCTTGCTGGCAGCGTGGGCCAATCCGCGGCGGCCGTGTGTGATGTGAGAGTCGACGTGGGACCGAAGGGCAGAATGGCGCCGTCGACGGTACAGTACAGGATGGAGCGACACACAGTCAAAGGGGGCAGCCATCATGCACCCGAACACCCCAAGAACCGTCGCCGCTGCGTCGACGTGACCGCGAAGTCGTGGTTGCATGTCGCCCTCCTTTGTTCCCCCCCCTTGCCTACCCGAGAGAACACGGTATGATATTAGTACCAGGCTGCCCCTCTCGTCCACGGAATCCTGGATTTCTTGTCTCCCTGTCCTAGTGACTTCTACTCAACTTATGTTTCCTTGAGACTGGCTAAGATATGCGCGTCATATGGCTATCTCTCTGACTCCGCGAGACCTGGAACGCAAGAAGCTACGGGAATCCAACGGATTCGCAGACGCCGTGCGGGAAACTGATGATTCCCTCACCCTGAAACCCGTCAGGGACGGTACAGCGAACAACTACAAGACCGTCTTGCACGAATGGGACCTGTATGCGTCGTCTCAACGTCTTCAGCTTCGAGGCGATCTCCTCTAATGCTTCGACAGGTTCGTCCAAGAGTACTCGGAACTCTTTCCAGGATGTACACCGAGCCCCTTGCAGGCCAAGACGGCGAAGGACTTCCTCATCTTCTACAGGAGAGGAAGGAAAGGTAAGGGTCGAGTAGACAAGGAGCGCAAGATCTTAGACTCAACCGCGGAGACATTCTGGAAAAACTTCATGACCGCCTGGCAGCGGAAGGCGGGCGACCATTTCTCGAAGCCCTTGCGTGACACGGTTCTAAATGTACGTTGATGTTCCTGGACTGTTGAGCAAGTTGATTCTGACCAAGTTCGCAGCTCATCAACGGGGGCCATGATAACGTCCTGGATCTGTCTAGAGAGAGACGACCGACCAAGAACTACACTCTTCTCGACTTCGAGGCCGTTTCTCGTCAGCTGTGGCAGAACGACTGGCATGATTACCACCACGAGTTATACCGGTGGGGTTTACACTGTCTTCAACTTCTCCACTGTGGGACATCTGCTCGCGCCGGCGAGTTCGAAAAGAATCTTCGTTTCCGTGTAGGGAAAACATCTTTACGAGATCACGAGATATGCTGACCGCCTTATATAGGATATTGGAATTTATCAAGTCTGGATGACCGATCAGCCACAGATCGTGTTTGACCTCCGGCGAGACAAGGCCAAGGGCCTTCAAAATCTACCTCGAGAGCAGTAGGTTATTTCTGGGTCTGGGGAGTTTTTCAGAATGCTGACTGAGTCCATACCGGAACATATACCCTACGAATTGGTCGGTCAACCATTCTACTACAACGTTGTCCTGTTTGTGATGGCGCGGGTTCTCTCAGCGGGAGCATTGCGACATTACAAGACATGGGCCGACATTTGCTCTATCAGGAAACCCCGTGGGCGGGCCCATCTTCCTCTGGACTATGAGGATCACTGTCTGAATATGCCTATCTTCCCACGGTGTTACGCGGACGGTTCAGTCGACGAATGTTTGACTTCCACATCTCTGGCCGATCACGCGCTCTCGGACGCGGGTTACCGAACAGGCTTTCGCGAAAGCCTCACGTTTCACGCATCTCGTCGAGAGGCTCTGTTTAAAGTGGACAGTAAGTGCGGGCATTGCAGGCGTTTGGCCGAATCATGGGCGCTGACCGACCAGATTATGGATATTCCATCAATGAACGTATGCGATTCGGCGCCCACCGCAATCAAGGTACCTACGCGGCAGCGTACCAATCCACGATCAGCACGGTGGACGGCCAGGCCACCTTTTTCGAACTTGACCGTCAAAACCAACGGCTCCACGAGCTCTTTCGCGGATATTCGTTGCGTCGAAACTACAACCATTGGCCGACTTTGCCTGAATATCGAAGGCAGCAACTTGAAGAGTTTGGGCCGGCTGCGACCGACCAGAAGGCAGTTCCGGCCGTGGATGAACGCGGATGTGACATGAAAATGCGACAGAGCCTCTACGATCAGAAACGCCAGACACGCGACCGGGCACTGAGGATTCACCAGACCTGTCCACCTGCAGAGTTCATGATATCTGATGATTTTCCGTACGAGTCGGACTTTGTCTACACGAGGAAGTTGATGCCTGAGCGGGATCGGCTGGCCGAGAATTTGTTCAAGGAAGGGAGTCTCCGTGACCGGGTCGGCAGGACGATCATGGACGATCTGGTCCGACTTCTCCAGACCAAGAAGTCGCAAACGTACTGCCGCGGGCTGAATAGTTCTCTCGACGTATGCGATATTTGCCATCAACAACGCATTGGGTACGTGGTCGGGTTGCCATTGTCAGCGACTAGTGAATGCCACTAACTTTTGTACAGCAGGTTTAACCCATCTACGTGGTGGTCACACGTGTATCGATGCCGAAAGGCAGCGGCCAAGAAAATCGGGCAATTTCAAGAATTCTGTTTCCCATGCTCCAGGTGGTTCTGCAGTCTAGCTTCTTGGAAGCATCACGCGGCTGAACATCTCCAGCCCAGTGAGGAACTGGGTCCTCTGCCGCTGAAATGTAACATTGCGCAATTTCGCCATACCCTCCTGCGGCCGGGGTTCTGCCCAGAATGCCTCGGTGACAAGGATGCCGCCCCCGACGCCCGGTTCCGGCAGTACACGAACGCGAGCGAGTGGAAAATGCATGTTCGTCATCACATGAGCCTCCGCGAGCGTGGGCGATGGGCTTGTTCCCATCCACGCTGCACGGATCTTGCGGCAAAGGCGACTTGGGAGGAGCTCTTTGAACACCTCGCAGACATCCACCAGATTCCTTTCACTGTCGCAGAAAGAGAGCAGGTGAAACGAGACGAATCGACTCACGAAGAAGGACAGAAGAAGCAAATATATCGGTATGTTTCCAAAAGAAAAAGTACAACCCGCCCGAAGGGAGATGATGGTTTTATACATCGAAGCTCAGCCTCTATGAAGCAACAGCTCAAGGGCCAGCCCACTCGAGAATCGACCCACGAGTTGAAAACTCCGCGCAACGGAGGTCCACCCTTAGAGGCGACAGAGGTGAGGCGACTTGAAGTACACGACTCCCACGAGGAAGATCCGTTGGGAGCATCTGTAGCAGACCATGACGATAATAGTCCTCCTCCACAGACGACGCGACATTCCGAGATCGTGCCTGAAGACACACATGCACTCCACGATTGTTCAAAAGCGGGATTGAATTGCCGAGACGATGTTTCCTCTCGCGGCTCGTGCCACAAAATGCCACCTCGAGCAGAAGGTGATGACACGAAGCTGCAAACACTTGACGCTGTCGTAGTCCCCCTCCAATCTGCTCAAGCAGAAGGAAAGAAAAGACAGATCTCGGACTCCTCTTCAGCTTTTGCCAGTAAGAAGGCGAAGTCTCTTAAGCTCTCGGAGACAGCAGGCAGCCAGCGGCAGGTCAACATTACCGTCGAGATTCCGCCCCTTCCAGCCGATTGGTGGACCAAGGAAGAACAGGAACATCGTTCTCCCTCGATCGCCAAAGAACATATCTCAACCCGGCGTACCCAGAAAAAGGCAGTGATGCCGTTGCCGGAGAAGCCTCCGTCCAAGAAGCGAGGGAAAGTACAGTCTAGCGGGAAACCGAGAAGGAGACCGAGAGGAAGACCCCGTCGCATTCGAGACCCTCCCCAGCCTCGCCAGCAATCTCCTGTCGACGACCATTGTCTGAGCCAAATACGATCCCGACAAAAAGCCCGTAAAGCTGCCAGCGTGAGTCTGAGCGATCAGCCTGACCAGGATGAATCTGTTAGTTCCAAAGACCAGGTGACCCGCAAGTGGGATGCTTCCGACGAACATGATCCTTCAGGATTTGCTCTGGGGTGTGTCTCATCATCGGTGCAACCGAGAAGCTCGTCATCTACCTATGTCGGTTTACGAAGGAAGGTTTCCGCCACGGGTCCAACAGTTTCCCCTCGAGTGCTGTCAATTCTCGACTCACCCGACCCTCTGGTCGAACACTGTTGGGAACGCTCTATTCCCCTGCTGGCAGAGTGTTCGGCCACATCTCCTCTCAATGAAGCGGAGTTTCAGCACAACTCGAGAAGGATTCCCCGTGAGCAGCTTTGGCGGATGAACGCTCGTGATGATTGCTTGTTTTCTCAAATCTCTCCCGGGTTTTCTTCAGCCGTCTCTTTCACCAATTTTCCCATCCCTAGCACTGGTGCTGGTGAGACGGCAGGCGTTGAATCTTTCCCTGAATTTCCATTCCCATCAGTAGGAGACGCCAATGACTTCGGTCAGTATCTTTGCTCGCCTTCACCGCCATATGTATCATTCTCGAAAGCTGTGCACAATGCGCCTGACGGACGAACGTCAATTGATACCGAACAAGACCCATGCAGCAATATCGCAGAAATGTCATTGACAGAGGACGGCAAGGCTCGGCTCTGGGGCGTATGTGACGGAGAGGGAGAACTCCAGACTAAGTAGCGGATCCCTACTGTGTTTGGCAATGGTCTCGCGGGCGGTTGAGCTACGATCTCCAAGATTGGACTGGGGCTCTTCACGGAGATTTTCGTCCCGTGCGAGATGATCCATTACCAATTTGCTTCGGGCAGAGCAGACAGCGCATAACACATCCTAGTTGGAATGATGGTCTCGGTATGACTTCGTCGTCCGACTCAGAACTTTTCAAACATAGTCGAGAAGTCTTGGCACGACTTTGGCTTCGAGCCCGGAGCGATAAGGGGATAGATACAGTACGCACTAGGTCTACTAGTATTTCTCTTGTAGTAATACTGTATAAGCAGAAGGCAGGTAGTAGCTATACAGTGCTTGCTAGACACTTCCGTAGTGCATTGCTTGTTGATGCGGCTACGGGCAGCCGCCTACGATTCGATTTCGCTCGCTTCGATCTGTTCCACCCTAATACTGTCTCGGTGCCAACAGAGAGCAAACAACCACCTGCCAACGCCAGCTTTAGTGTCCGTACATCCGAGACTATCGATCTAGCGACGGCCCACTCAGCGTCTTCAGCGCCTTCAGCCCATTCAGCGTACTTTGGCCAAATAAAAAAAGAGTATCGGATCGCCGGCTAGATTCGTTCTCTAACCCACTCTCTCTTATTCATTTTTTTCATTTTTTTGTTTTTTGCGAAAGAGTGATCATCGCAGGAAACGCTCGAGTTACACTTGTTCGTTTGTCGAAATTATGGGGGTCTTTCTCGTAAAATGGCTCACCAAGACGATCTCCGCCAAACTCATGGCGACTCACTGTCCAAGGAAAACATAAGTGTTCTGAATTGGTTCCGACCACCACTAGTGTGTCTGCTCTAGTGCTTGGCGTCGGTACTATGGCTCATTGGAGAGCTATGAAGTGTCCTGGTGCTAGGTGATATCAGCGACCATACCAGCCGTGTGAGAAGTCTCCGATTGCGGAAACAGCCCCATTTTGAGGTGGTGAGCCTTCTGACACTATGGGAAAACAAAATGTCATTGGGACAAAGTTGTCGATGCCTGTATGATATTGGTCAGGTATTGGGATTTGCGGGTTTCCTTGCTCATTTGAGATGAAAGGCGATTCTCCTGGCATGAGCGCATTCTGCGGCTGCCACAGCTCTGTCCACCCTAGTCCTTCAATCCACACTGGTGGGCGTGCAAACGGATAGGGGTTCAGGGGTTGCGCGGAGTCGATTTGGACGGCACGCGTACAAATCATTGGTGCATAGTTCATCTGACCCCCTGGGTGGAACGAGGTAACGGCGCTGTTTGGGTATGAGAGCTGAGCCGCGTTGTTCTGCATCGATAGTTCATAATTCGATATCGCTGCCGTCAGTTTGCCATCCGTAGTCTTTGGTAGAGTCAATTGAGGCTTGGTAACATCCTGCAAGCTCAATACAGCAGCTGTCATGGGTTCTTGTACTGTCGGAATCCGGTTTTTATGTCGCCAATTCCTCTTGATTCTTCCTCCATGCTCATCATTGTGGTGAACTGATGTCGTTTCATGTTTGAGGCTGAATTGTTCTCTCCACTTCGCATCCGCATGTGTCGCTGCCCTTCCATCTTGTGACTCCCACAGGACCGGAGGTGAATCATCTCTCGGCATCGACGATGTGGTTCCTTCGTCACGAGGCATCGTCCAAATACTTTCATCCCGCGCTGACACTAGCAATCTGACATGCCGCAGCAGTTCACTTAAGGTTGCAATCGCCGAGGGCGCCATGTTAGATTGCGAAGGACTCGCAGAACAACATTGAAAGACAACAAGAGCTCGTTCCACGCGAAACACGTCTTCGTCCAACACAGTCTCCCGTCGCAACAGAGACACGGCCAGCATGACCGCTGCGCAGTACATCCCGAAGCATCGTGGCCAGGACGAGACAGCAATGCTTGAGTCAATATCATGTATGTAAGCAAAGGTGTCGGAAACTATTCGCGCTGACTGGAGTAGATTGTTGACCATGTTCTTCGTTTTATTGTCGTGAAAAGAACGAAACTTTCTTTCTTTGGCGGCTTTTTCATCTCCGATGGTCGGGGCAACCGAGAAACATCGAATCAAAGCACAGCGAATGACAATCTCTAATAGTTGAACCTCGATCTGATGATCAGCAATAGCAATCCTGAAGAAATTCGTTATGTGAGGCTCCTGTTGCAGCAGAGGGAGTTGAGCTTGATGTTCATGAAGCCGCAATAAATACCCTTCCAGAGTCCGCGCATATGCGTCGTGGGCAGGTGTTTTCTTCGAGTTGACAAGTTCCATAGCCTCCAGCACCAACGACGAAAATTCCTGGATATTTCGGCGGAACGTCTTCTCCTCGTCTGGTAGACTCTCGAGTAACGGCCGCGGTATCTCTTTCTGGAGAGCTGTGCGTCGAAGTGACCGGCCCAGCATCAAGCTGACTCGAGAGTCGAAGTCTTTGAGAAGCCACCACATACGCCGTGGAAACTCAACTGATTCGTCAGCGGCATCGTATTGATTTACTGGGCATTGTTAGCAACAGATATTGTGAGGAGAATAACGACGGCCTGACAACCAATCAGTTCACCTATGCAAATCAAGCTGGGCAGTCCTGTCCATGCCTCTATAACTTTGCCCTCCTCGAAAAGCCGTATCATAGACATGAGCTTCATATATATGTGGCGAAGAGGTTTTGAAGGCTGATTTTCCAGGTCTGTAGAGATACGTAAGCGTGCTCCTACTACGTGGTTTGACTGTTCGGGACGGATCTGTTCTGGTATGAGAAGGTTATCACCGTATCCTCTGCACATATTGAAGCTTCCAATGACATCGATGGAGGCAATGACGTTGGCTACGTCCGATCTAGAGGATCTGAGGGTCTTAAACTACCATCCACCAGTAAGTTTTCATCGAAGTGTATATGAGAAGTCATACCACGTCAATAGCCCGTATCAGCGACAAATCCCCATAGAAAGAAAGTGGTGGCTCAAAAGACTAATGATTGTCGTCAACCTCATCATGTCGAGCCTGGTCAAACGTATCTTGTGGTACAGAACAATTAGAATCGTGCGGTTGGTCTGGTTCGAACGAGAGCGTCAAACCACTCTATCACGTCAACCATTCGGACCAGTCGCTGAGGGATATGGGAAACTCACTCCATTATTATCGCTGTTTCCAGACAATTCGGCGTCGTAAAGACAAATGGGTCGACTTCGCTTCCGCTAACATGTCGAACAGGGAATTCCACCAGAGCACTTACTATCTCGTCAGTTTCGTCACTAATTTGAGAGGCACAAGTTGGTAGATAACCTTTGACTTGCTCAGGCGACAGGGGATGCAGGAAGTTCTAACTCGCTGGTCAGCTTTTGGCATTTCTGGACCGAATTGACAAGATGATAATGTGTCAAATAAGATGTACCAGTTTCACGGATGAGGTTATCATGCCGTCTAGATGTGCGTAGATAACAGGACTTTATACATGGAGGCAGGCGAAGGTCATACTCATGTCTTTAGACTTTCCTGGGTAACGAAATGCTACAGTACAAGATACCGATCAACCAGAAGCTGTTGAAAGCCACCTGCAAGCAATGATCCTGGGTCGAGGAGCTAGGGAAGTCTTGAAGTGCAAGGGTTTTCCGCGCCAATGTTTGCTCGAGTCGAACTGCACAGGTCTTTTCTGCCTGGTGACATGGGTTCTCGACCTCGTTGTGAATGCCTTCTAATTCGTTCGATCTCGACAACTGTTCAGAACGCGAGGACTGTGACTAGTACGATCGGCGATGATCAAAGTGCTCAGGGGAACTGTATTGTGCTCGGGCATCCAATTAAGATATTTCCATTCCAACCAAGGACGAGGCCTGTTGGCCGGGAACTTGCACCCGGCACGTCCGGGCCGTGGAGATCAACCACGGGAAAGCCCTCCATCCACCGCAATTTTCGCTTGATCGGCGACCGTTAAGTGGACGTTCAAGTCCATAATCTTTCGTACCGCACCCTAGTCGAGTTGCAGCCGCTAGCGGATCGGTTCCGCACTCCCGGAAACCCCAACACCAATAAGGTGGGCCTCCACACCACCATACTCATCATTAGATTGGTCCGTTTAGTAAGGTCTATGAAAAGATCTTTTAAGGCGGTCCGAACCAAACAAATCATACCTGCCGCCCAGGTCAGGCCAGGCCTGTCATCGACGTCGTCAAATGTTGCTTATTGGATCTTTTTGTCTGTGTTTCCAAGCAATGCTTGCTCAGTGGAACAATTGTAGTATCCGTGGCCTCAAACAGTACGTCGAAAAGTATTATCGTGATTACTTCATCCCTGAATTCCCTGTTGCGGTCCAAAGGCGAAAGTAAGACATGTTCGTTAGCGTTGGATGTACGTAGTTACTGCAGGGGTACCCCGTAAGATTGCGTAAGATCTCCGTGATCAGCTCAACCACCAATTTGGCGAGAGGGCTAGGCGCCCGTTTACAGGAGGCTTACAAGGTAGTGCTACCGATAGTGCGGATGTGCCTAGAGTGGTTCGAGATCGCGTTATCGTAAGGCGATCTCCAGGAGCTGTAGTTACTGTACAATCACTTAGCCTGTCTCCTTCCCGTTTCCATTTGCCTGCTGCGCTAGAGGAGTGTCCGTTCTGAGTGAGTAAGCTGCTACTTTGCATTTGTTGATGGCGTTGTGGATAATGATCGACATCAAAAAGAGAGAAAAACAAATGCTGACAGATTCTTATGTCACACTGCTCCACGGTGCTCAGGGGGACGGGATGTTCCTCTACAAGCCTTCTTTCAATTGGTCAGAGATTTTCTGTACGTGATTCCTCTCAGAGCATTCTCGCATGGGTGCGGAACCTTTTCTATCGTTAGTGCATAACGGTGGGCGTCGGTAGCAACCCACTGGTCGGGGAAACGCTGCTTTGCGCTCAGCACCACATGCACAGAGATCTAATATGCGGGTGACCTATGCTTCGTAGGTTGCATCGCTTCCAAATTGTTGGGCTAATATCGCAAGCTTGTAGATCGACTCCAAGGTCTCGAGGTCGTCTTCTCCTAATACTCTCCTGCGTAGTCTCACGACCTTGTGCATGAGTAAAAACGCTTCCGTGTATCGTTTGCTCTCACTGTATTCGATTGCTAGCTCGTACATCGACTCCATCGTCTCCGGGTCATCGTCTCCAAGCGTTTGTCGTCGGATCCTCACCACCTCGTCCAGTAGCCGTAGTGCCATTCCGCGTCGCCCACTTCCACCGAAGAGCATCGCAAGTTCGTGCATGGACTCCAGTGTCTCGCGA